GCCACTATACGTCCTTGATACGGCCACCATACGGTCTCTATTAAATAACCTCTATACAGCCACGATACAGCCACTATACGTCCTTGATACGGCCACCATACGGTCTCTATTAAATAACCTCTATACAGCCACGATACAGCCACTATACGGCCTTGATACAGCCACCATACGGTCTCTATTAAACAGCCTCTATACAGCCTCTATACAGGCCACTATACGTCCTTGATACGGCACCATACGGTCTCTATTAAACAGCCTCTATACAGCCTCTATACAGCCACTATACGTCCTTGATACGGCCACCATACGGTCTCTATTAAACAGCCTCTATACAGCCTCTATACAGCCACTATACGTCCTTGATACGGCCACCATACGGTCTCTATTAAATTACCTCTATACAGCCACGATACAGCCACTATACGTCCTTGATACGGCCACCATACGGTCTCTATTAAATTACCTCTATACAGCCACGGTGGTTAAGGGGTTTTCCAAAACTCCAGGGGCTCGTGAAGTGTCTTACACAACCTCTCCGAGCCCAAGATCCGTAGTGCGTGGTGAAGAGCCACACCCTTCTCGAGGTGCCACTGTTAAGCTTAGTAGCCTGTTCTGGGTGATTCCAGTTAAAACAGGTGAACGGTAACAGAACACTGCGGCTCTAGACCAGTACAGGTCGAAAAATAAAACCGGGACATCTGTCTCGTTAGGACTGCATGCGGTTCATCGGGTGCGAAGGGCCAGCATCCCTTCCACCTCAAATAACAACGCTACTGAAACAACACACACATCAAATGGACGGAGTGCTACTTCCAATTCAAGGACGGATGGTTCCAGCATGACGGAGGCTGGGCAAAGCCTACGGGACCCCAGTCGCCTGATGAGAAGAGGGGGTACTCGTCATCCGACCAGATTTATTAGTCAACAGATCATCCATGTTGACCCTGCTTCCAACAAATCCAATCCAGTAAATTATTGCAAACAGTTTTTACGTTTTGGAACATGGAACGTTCTATCTCTTGTCAGCTCATCTACACAGCTCTACCAACTTAGTCAAAACATTGATCAGTACAGATTGGATCTTTTGGGGATCACCGAGACTCACATGCCTGGATCTGGCACCACTCTACTGGACAATGGCAGTCTACTCATCCATTCCGGTAGAGTCGACGGGATCAAGAGACAGGGAGTCGGTCTCAGTCTTTCAAAACGAATCAGAAACTCCCTGATATCGTTCACTCCCACATCGGAGCGGGTTTTAACCGCTAGGCTGCATAGTAAGCAAATCAACATCTCTGTTGTTGTGGCCTATGCTCCAACTGAGGGTGCAGAGGAGAGTGAGAAAGATAAGTTTTATAGGACACTCACAGATACATTTGATGGGCTACCTCGTCACGATATCAAGTTACTGCTCGGCGATTTTAATGCAAAAGTAACATCAGACAGATATGGAAGTGAAGCGGTCATCGGTGGGGAATCACTCCATAGCTCATCAAATGACAACGGGACAAGACTTGTGGATTTCTGTGCGACGAACCAGCTTGTCATCGGGGGAACTCTCTTCGAGCACAAGAACATTCACAAGGGAACATGGCGGTCCCCCAACGGGCTCACCGTCAATCAGATAGATCATATCTGCATTGGAAAGCGGTTTCGTCAATCACTTTTTGATGTTAGGGTATGTCGCGGGGCAGACATCGGCTCCGATCATTATCTGGTTCTAGGACTGCTGAAAATCAAACTTCAGTCAGTGACAAAGATCGACGCCAACAGGCCCAATGTGCCTGCCATTGAGCGCCTGAGGGATAGTACTACGGTTACAGAGTACAATGTGGCTCTTCAAAACCGATTTGCAAGTCTGGATAGTGAGGTCGACCTCGAAGATATGTGGCGTAATCTCAGTCAGACCGTCACTGAGGTCTCACTGGAGGTACTAGGCAAAAGACCCCGGAAGGCAAAGGAGCAACACCTGTCACGGAAAACCAAGGATTTATTGATTCAGCGGGCACAGTTTAAGCGCAAAGACCCAAACTCGGACGCTAACAGGTCAGAATATTCTAAACTTAATAAGTTAGTCAAGAAAAGCAGCAAGCTAGACGACAATAACTGGGCAGTTAGAGTAGCTACTGATCTTGAGGAAGCAGCGAGCAAAGGTCAGCAGCGTGAGGTATGGGCAAAGATCAAGAAGATCTCTGGTAAGAACAAGAAGCCTCAAGCATCTTGTGTCCGGGACAAGGACGGTAGGAAGATCACGGATCCCCAACAGCAGAGGGATAGGTGGAAGGAGCACTTTACTGAACTTCTGAACCCTCCATTATCAAGTGTCGACCTTGCCGACCTTGATACAGTACCACCCCAACCCCACTTTGACTCTCTCTCTTGTTCGGATGGACCACCCACCAGAGACGAGATTAGTTATTCCCTGACAAAGCTTAAGAACAACAAAAGCCCAGGAGTGGACGGGATAACTAACGAGCAACTGAAGTATGGTGCGAGTGCTCTAGTTGATCAACTAGAGTGTCTATTCAAGAAAGTGTGGGAAGAAGAGACTGTTCCTGAAGATTGGTTAAAGGGTGTAATCATTGTTATTGGGAAGAAAGGAGACACTTCAGTCTGCGGGAACAACAGAGGGATCACCTTAAGGTCTACAGCATCAAAGCTTTTTCAGATGATTCTTCTTAAGCGGTTACATGCTGGTATGGAGTGTCTTCTCAGGGAAAATCAGTGCGGATTTAGACAGAACCGCTCATGTATTGATCAGATTTATTCTCTCCGAACTATTATTCATAACTGTCTTGAGTTTAACATTCCTCTTTACATTAATTTTGTCGATTTCAAGGCAGCGTTCGATTCTATCAGAAGGGACTTTATTTGGTGCAGTATGAGACACTATGGGCTGCCTGAAAAATATGTCAGAATATTTCAGTCATTTTTTGGGGGTACCATGAGTGCCGTGAGGGTTAATGGGGAGCTAACAGACTGGTTTGATGTTAACTCAGGCACAGGTCAGGGTGACATTCAAGCACCTCCTGTCTTTAATTTCTGCCTAAACTTTTCTGCATTTCTGGCTGAGACCAACAAGATCATCAGTCAAGGCGCAGTGCTGCAGAAAGAGATGAAGACGGTCGAGGAAAAGGTCATTCTGGACACAGATTATGCTGATGACATGGCTATTATGGACAACTCAGGGGAAGGCCTACAGGAGTCAACTGATCTATTAGTTCATTACAGCTCCTACGCTGGGCTCAGAATAAATGCAAAGAAGACCCAATGCATGGCTGTAAGCAAGTGCGCCTCCCAGCGACCTTTCATCAAGGATGATTGTATTGAACTGTCGGTTGAGGGTGAACCCGTCGAGCAGGTTAGCAACTTTGTCTACCTGGGTGCAACTATCAGTGGGGATGGGACAATCAACAGAGACCTGGATGTCCGTATCCAGAAGGCTAATGGCGCCTTTCATCAGCTCTGGAACATTTGGAATAGCAGAACTATAAAGACTCCAACCAAGATCAGGATCTATAGGGCTGCTGTCCTCACCATCTTATTGTATGGAGCTGAAGTCTGGAACACCACCAAAAAGCAGATGAAACGCTTTGAGGTTTTCCATCAAACCTCCTTGAGAAGGATCCTTAGGATTAAATGGTTCTTTCATGTGACCAACGAAGAAGTTCTTAGGAGGGCTGGCATCAAGTCTGTTGAGACTTTCATCAGTGCTGCCAGGCTACGTTGGTATGGACATGTAGTTAGAATGCCAGACTCTAGACTACCGAGGTTTCTGTTGAACTGGAAGCCAAATTATGGAAAGAGGTCAAGGGGCAGACCCCGTAAGAACTGGAAGTCCTGCGTACTCGAAGATGCTGCTAAGTTTACAGGTGTTGAAAACATCGACAACAACACAACAGAAGCTTTGGCTACCAACCGAGTACAGTGGAGACATATGTTACGCCGCCAACGCGATGTGTGTGATGCAGGCCACTCCAACGACTAGGAGGAGACCTTACCATGTAACATGTATGTATACAGCCACGATACAGCCACTATACGGTCTTGATACGGCCACCATACGGTCTCTATTAAACGGCTTCTATACAGCCACGATACGGCCACGATACAGCCGCTATACGGCCTTGATACAGCCACCATACGGTCTCTATTAAACGGCCCCTTGTAGTGTATCTTTTGTTGAAGCAGTATTATTTATTCTTAACTTTATATTGCGCTCTATTACCTTGCCAGAGAGCTGAAACCATATCTGTTTGGCTGGCAATTATGTAGCTGTTGCTACGATAATGCATGAGCTCTCATGTTAGATCCATTGTAGAGTATATACGCGCCCTCCAAACAGGAAGTGTATGAACTCATGCATCATAGAGCTAGTGGTATTGGATAATTGAGCTCAGTTCTTCTAAGGCTTTTTGAAGTTAGTCACTTGTCCTAAACAGAGTTCTATGCACCTTGCAAACTAAGCTCTTGGTGACTCCCTGCCAGTGGGTTTATGAACAGGGGTGTTGCCATGAGAGGTTCCGACTGGGAACTCTGACAATGTTGAACGATTGTTCATGCTATTCCTTTTGATGAAGTTCACGAGTCCTTAATTATTTCATTATTACTATTATTTAATTATTTGAACTGTTCAAGTCTTTCTTGACTAAATCAAAGATACTAAAGACAAAGTAAAGTGCACAACCACAAGTTAAACCTTGTAGATGTAAGATTGACCACATGGACGAACCTGGGAAAAGAACTGAACACTGGGCAGTGTCTTTAACTCTTACTTACTACACTCTATGCAGCCACGATAAGGCAACGATACGGCAACGATACAGCTACTATATGGCATTGATAGGCCACGATACGGTCTCTATTAAACAGCCTCTATACAGAGGCCTCTATATTATATTTAATTTCCTTCTAATTAATCAACCAATTAAACTACTAATTAAGAACGAATACTGAGGGAAGATTGAGTTATCTGAACACTGTAAAATATTCACAAACCTGATAATATAGCTGGTAGTATAGAGTCTTCACAGGATTGACTAAAGTTAGGAAGTAGTTTCTTGAATAAGTCGTTATGATCTTCTACTTCTGTTCACCGAAATCTGATATACTCCACGTGAGTTTTCTAAACTTATAGTTTTAACTTTGAAATAGCGTGCTGGCTGTTGTATTATTAAATGATACTTCAAATTAATCAACCAATTAATTAACTAATTAAGAACCAATATGGAAGGAAAATGTAGTTATGTGAACACTGTAAAACATTGACAAACCTGATAATATAGCTGGTAGTATAGAGTCTTCACAGGATTGACTAAAGTTAGGAAGTAGTTTCTTGAATAAGTCGTTATGATCTTCTACTTCTGTTCACTGAAATCTGATATACCCCACGTAAGTTTTCTAAACTTATAGTTTTAACTTTAAAATAGCGTGCTGGCTGTTGTATTATTAAATGATACTAATATATTAAATTTCCTTCAAATTAATCAACCAATTAATTAACTAATTAAGAACCAATATGGAAGGAAAATATAGTTATGTGAACACTGTAAAACATCCACAAATTTAGTTATGTAAAACATCCACAAACCTGATAACCTTGGGCCGGGTAGGATAGAGCCTTCGCAAGATATAGCTCACAATAAGGATTTAGGAAATAGTCTTCTTCTCAGAATCGTATTTTAAATGTTTCTTTAATTCAGCCACTGAAAAAATACTGCTTTCAATAAACAACGGTACTCAAAAATTGAAGTAGGAACATATCAAAAGTTATGATGGCTGTTATAGCTTCCCTTAGCTTTCCGTTTATTGTTTAGATATTATAATCCTATAGCTTAAAATCAGCCTTGGTTTTACTTTCATTATGTTGTTGATCGCTTATTACATAATATGTATTTCATGATAAAAACTACTATTATATACATTATACAAACTAGGCCAAAAATATATACGAGTTTTATAACTTGGCAACAACGTTTACGTTAATATAAAACTTCCATGTACCTGCCAAAACGTTATATAAATGTTTCGCCGACAAAGATGCGTCGATTAAAACAAGTTTACAAATCAATAATCAGGCCGGGTTCAGTGTAAGCTTATACGAAATCAAAAGGATTAAAGCTGAGTAACAACGAACTCTCCTCAACAAATTATTTGTGGATGTAGATTCTGCAGCTACAACTGCGGAAGACCATGATCTAATGAATCACGTGCACTTCATGTGACCCGTTGGAGAGTGCTTTGGCTATTGAGTTACATATCACGAGGTTATATAACGTGCCATTTCATTATAGATCACTGCAGTCGCCGTGCGGTGTTATAATTATATTACTGAACAGTGCTCCCTCTTCAACATGTTGTCAAAGCCTGAAGTTATTATGGCCTGGTGGGGAGGGGACTGTTATACTCAACTCACAATTTTGTTTTATCACGTCACTACAGTCATGGTGTAAAGATAAAGTGACAATTCACGGGGGAAGCTCTTCCTCGTGTCTTTTAATTACACCCTGAAGTTATCAGGATGGATCAGGGATGTATAATGTATATACATTACATTTATAACAAGTTTTCAGCAGATCATTTTCCAAAACAAATTTAGTTACGATTAGGATTGAACAGGATGTGTTGCAGTTTTTATTATATTTATTATATACAGTTTATTAAGCATCAACATGTTACATGGCGAGATCTCCATCCAAAAGGATTAGTCTGCGTCGACTGCGTCATTACTTTGTATTATACAACTTCGGCGGGTAACATCAACATGTACTTAACTTGAATAGCAAGCTAGTACTAGTAGACGGCTGTGATATTTTCGGTACAGATTTCACTACAACGATAGACGCAAACCTATACATATTACATAATGTATACATAATAATATGTACTTTCATGTTCGCAGCTGTAATGACTAATGAGGGCCACTATAATACAAATTAATCAAACCATGGTTTGATAAGTGATTAAAAGTTGGGGTCACGCGTAATGAGGTTGCCATGATGTCACTTGGTCTGCACGAAGTTTTCGTGACGTAACCTAACTTTACAATTACAGCCGAAGCTGAAGATAATATTATGAATTTTAATAAAAAATGATGATTAATGTTCCCGTAATTTCTAAGAGTGTAGGTAAGCTTAAAATATAAAGGATTATTCTGGAAGAGAGTTGAGAGATCTGGTGAGAATAATCCAAGCCATTAGCTGTTATGATCCTCATAGCCAATACCATTCTGTGACTGTGTGTTGACAGAAGATCCGAAAAGAATTGAGAACTTTTGTGTGGATTACTGTGAAATCCAGCGGTAAGAAAATGTATTTCTACCAAGGTTCTCTAATATTAGTATATTACCTCAAAAACCTTATTTTTGTCAAATCCCTGGCCCTCATCTTCATTTATAATTTATCTTATTTTTATCTTTATTGTCATGAGCCAAAAAATGTTGAATATTGAAAATGAGAAGTAACAGTGCCACTTGCTAGAAAAATTAAGTTAATCAGCATAACCATTTTACTTTACACAGTATTAAGGGTTCCTAGCTCAAAGCTGACCATGCTTAAAAATAACTTAAGATAACGAAGTATTCACCTATAGTTTCGTAGATGAAGCTGTAATATTAAATATTCCAAACCAGAATCTTATCTTTATCTTTATTGGCTGAGCCAAAAACCATACGACCATATTTAGTCAAACAAATTTGAAACTGAGCATTCAACTATTATTGAGTGGATGATCTTGAGATCAAGTTTACTCTGTACGTGATTCTCTGTGTCTGGTTAGTGGCAGTGTATTTGTAATGATACGGTCTGTACAATAAGTACAGTGTACAGTTTGTACAGGTCAGCAGGTTGTTACAATGGTAACTAGTGGTGTAACTATGGTAACACAGCTAGTTACCATGGTAACACAGCTAGTTACCACGGTAACACTGCTAGTTACCACGGTAACACTGCTAGTTACCACGGTAACACTGCTAGTTACCACGGTAACACTGCTAGTTACCACGGTAACACTGCTAGTTACCACGGTAACACTGCTAGTTACCACGGTAACACTGCTAGTTACCACGGTAACACTGCTAGTTACCACGGTAACACTGCTAGTTACCACGGTAACACTGCTAGTTACCATGGTAACACTGCTAGTTACCATGGTAACACTGCTAGGATCAGGGTTAGAGTCTGGAGAAGGACTAATAAATATTATGATTAATGTAATTTAATACAGAGGAATATTCCTGGATGAATATGTGGCACATTTCTTAAGAATGATCCATAATATTACTCATTAGGTTATTGTGCAGCACGATTTGTAGAACAATCGAGAATGTTCTAGAAGCGTCCTCGGGCCTGAGTGGCTGAGATAATAAGTTCTAGTAATGTATAAGATCAAAGAATATTGAAAGTAACATTTTTTTAAAGCTACGATCCCGGTCCCAGTCCCGGTTTTATTCCCGGTCCCGGTCTTATTCCCGATCACTGCCTAATCCCGGTCCCGGCAATTTTTTCCAGTCCCGGTCCCGGCCAAAAAGCGGTCCTTGGACCTTGTCCCGGCCAAAAAGCGGTCCTGGTCGATCCTTGGTGCTAATTATTGGTCACCTGTCACCTGTCAACTGATTTGTCATAAATTCTTACGCTTCTTTTCACTTTATGTTTTGTTTTAATGGCAGCTGTAATACATATATCCAAGCGAGCAAAATAAATGATTGTACACTTTTCGATGTGGTACTGTTCAATGTTCATTTTCCGATCTCGTTTGCAGGGTGGCCCAGCAGTAACTGCCCACAGATTGGGCGACATCTGTCCGACAGCCGAATTAGGGATTTCGGACAGATGTCGCTGTCGGACAGGAGACCTTTTTGGCGAAATCTGTCCGAATTTTTGTAATCTCAGATCACATTCGTATCACATACCCTATAAGTGATCCATTGAGATCTGATCTATCGATACGTGATTGACTATTTGAGGAGACAGGATCGTGCTCCCTCCCTCCCTCCCTCCCTCCCTCCCTCCCTCTCTCCCTCTCTCTCAATTCTAGGTAGATTTGATGAGATTTCAAACATGTTCAAAAAATTCCAAATTATTTTTAAAAATAATATAAACCGTTAATGTATGAATTTAATTTACAAAGCGGAAATGTGAGGAATTGAATACGAATACCATATTATCATCCAGTTTTTCAAAAGCGTACAATACTTTTTAGCCCTTTAAAATGAACAGTTACGAAATTTTCTCAGTTTTTTAAAAGAAGCGTATTAAATTAAATTTGAAAAAAACACTAGAATTTAGTTAGATAACTATTAGTATCAAACTGTTATCCAATTATTTAATAATCCCGACCGACAAAAACGTAAGGTTTATTTAGTCGTGCTGTAAACACCCAGTCCAGTCTCCCAATCAGTCCTTCCTCAACCTCCCCGTCTGCCTGGAGAGATATTTAATATTAGCAGGTTACATCTGGTTACTAGGTTACTATCTGGTTACTAGGTTACCAACCAGCCCTTCTTCAACCTCCCCGTCTGCTTGGAGAGATATTAAATATTAGCACGTTACATCTGGTTACTAGGTTACTATCTGGTTACTAGGTTACCTGGTTACCAACCAGTCCTTCCTCAACCTCCTCGTCTGCCTGGAGAGATATTTAATATTAGCAGGTTACATCTGGTTACTTGGTTACTATCTGGTTACTAGGTTACTATATGGTTACTAGGTTACCAACCAGTCCTTCCTCAACCTCCCCGTCTGCCTGGAGAGATATTAAATATTAGCACGTTACATCTGGTTACTAGGTTACTATCTGGTTACTAGGTTACCTGGTTACCAACCAGTCCTTCCTCAACCTCCTCGTATGCCTGGTAAGATATTTAATATAAATATTAGCACGTTACATCTGGTTACTAGGTTACTATCTGGTTACTAGGTTACCAACCAGCCCTTCCTCAACCTCCCCGTCTGCCTGGAGAGATATTTAATATAACTATAAGCAGGTTACATCTGGTTACTAGGTTACTATCTGGTTACTAGGTTACTATCTGGTTACCTGGTTACCAACCAGCCCTTCCTCAACCTCCCCGTATGCCTGGAGAGATATTTAATATAACTATAAGCAGGTTACAGATCTGGTTTGACGCATGATAATCGTCCAAATTTCGTCGAAGTAGCACGCACCGGGTAAGTCCATTAGCAATCGAAGCACTTAATCATTTGGCAAAAAGTTAACTTTATCCGTCAAATTTAGTCAAAAATGTAAAATTTCGGCCCTGGAAATTTCATCTTCAAAAACCGAAAATTGGACAGAGATTGGGATAATATGATTTTGCAATTTTTTTCGGGATTTCGACTACCAGTGCCTCAATTTGGTTTCATACCGTCATCAATTAACTAACTAATTGGTTTCTGGGCAGAAATTTCATCCAATCTGTCAAATTTGGGTTCAGAAAATTTAATATTTGAAAATGGGACAGACTTTTGAAAATACAACTTTTCGTTTTGTTAAGCTTATTGCTGTGGGCTTTCTCCGACCGAAATTAAACTTCCAGCACGTCATTCGTGCTATATTAAAGTCACTATTGTGACGGTACATTAGAACTGTGCCATCTTTAGTTGACTTAATAATTGGATGATGATGAAAAAGTCAGCCAAAACTGTAAATATGAAAATTTAATTTTCATATTCAAAAACCGAAAATGGGACAGAGATTGGGACACCGACAATATGATTTCGCAATTTCATTCGGAAAACAAAATTAACATTTCCAGCCGTCCAACAGTACATGAGTAATTTAGTGTGTTACCACGGTTACATACGCTGTAAAAATGTAAACAGTAGGGGCTCTTTTCGTTTTTTAACCTAAAGGGTTTTGTGAAATGTTAGAACTTCAAAACATGCAACAATAACTTAATTTAGTCAAAGTAAGCTCAGTTTTTACTCATTACTTCTGAAGGGTTGCCCAGGATCCTTGGATATATGAAGAGGAGTACTGAGAAGAAGACAACAATTCCAAATACAACTTGTCCCAAAGCTAGCTGTTCTCCGCTGTACACTCCTGTAATTTAGCGTGTTACCATGGTTACTGTACTACTCGTCAAGTATCTTATCAAGATATTATACACTACTCGTCAACAGGCAAAGTTAGGTGGATCTTATTATAAAATTACCAATAAGCGTCTTCATATAGATCTCC